TTAGTCAGCAATCTTCTGCCATGCTTGGCCTTGTTATGTCGTACAAAAATAATAAATTATATTATAAAAGTTGCATATAATATAATTTAAATGCTTTAAGTATTTTTATTCAACAATTTATTTATTATATATTTGAAAATTTCAGTTCATTTTTAATTGAGACATGACAGGAGAGAAAAAGTAATCCAAATATTTAAAAATTTCACTATTCACAACATAACCTCACTTCTGTATTTAATAAGCAAACAATTCTTCTTCATAAAATCCGAGCGCTCTTTAGTTAATTGTTTAGTAAAGGAATCAAAATAATTGATATTAAAGTATCACTATATGCGGTCGTGACCGAATCATTTATACTCATCACAGTCATCCCAAAAACAAGAGACAAAACAAGTAAAAAATAAATAAATTTTTATATTTTATAACTTGTGGACGCGGTTGGTTTTTTTACTTTCACAGCAAAAGTTTTCGTTAGGCGTGTGCGGGTTTTAGACGTGTCCTTTGAATAGCTTAGGTTGGCTTCCAAATTTGTAGGTAATATCTCCTTTTTCGGTAACACGAAAATTGTTTCGCGCAGATACAACAATTTTGGTCGGACGGACAGATGGTCAGACGAATATACCTAGGTGCATTTCAAATTTGAAACAGTTCAAGACTTTACATGCGTTATGGGGTTTTTGAAGCTTCTGTGTGTGAAAAAAAAACTTATATTTTAAAACACTATAATATTGGGTAGGCGTGGTCAATTTTCTCCGTTTTTGTACACGAACGCTACAGCATCGCCCATAAAAAGAAAATTTTTCTTCCTCTTGAAAAACAGAGCAGTTTTCAGATTACGTGGTACTGTGGGCTTGCCCTTCGACCGATCTGATCCATTTTCATTACCAATCCGATGCAAGAAGTTCGAATGTTTCTATCAAATTTAAAGTCAATGGCTTCATTTTTTCGGCCAGAAGAATGTTTACGGTAGGCGTTACACTAAATGACAGACGGACATACTTGAATCGATTTAGAATTTTATGCCGATCTTGGGGTCCCTGAAGTTTCCTTCTAATCGTTGCAAACGTTTTGATAAAATGAATACACCTCTCATCGTTCGGCGATACATGTCAAAAAAAAAAAAAACAAATACAAACCGAAATAAGGAAAGACATAATCCAGCAAAGCTGACCATTAGATACCCTACACCATCTCGCCAGGTACAGTTATTCACCCCTTTTGGCAGTAATTCATAAAAAATTCTGCATTACCTTCATGTAAAGGCATATTTTTCGCAAGAGGCCGCATATTGGATAACGCGCATGGAGAACAACATATGATGTGATCCAAATTTAGCAAACTTTGAATTTGTTTCCCAAAGATTTTCTTAATTTTCAGCAACATCTACTACAAATTAAGCTTGTCCTTCATGCAAGCGCTTGCTTTTCATGACAATCCCTACATATGATGGGTTCTAAAACATATACCTATGCTATCCTACGGCTAATTTTTTTGATAAATTGCTATTATGAATCAATTTTCATCATGGCATATTAAAAATTAAACCTTCATCTGAAGAGTTCACTAGGAAGCTTTACACCCTAGTAATCTAAACTTAAAGTATTAACGCATTCAAATTTTATAATTTTTCGAAACTTTTCGTACATTGTCTTCGCCTTTGGTAAGAATTCGCAAAAAAACATTAGCCTTGTCAATACACATCTTTTCCCCGTCTACTCACCATTTTCTCTATTCCTTTTCCACTCTCTCAATGGCTTGAAATCAATCTATCATGCGGATAAAATACAGCTCGTACATGTCCTTCATCCATAAGCTAAGATGATTCTTAATGAACTATAAAGAATTTCTGAAGAAATGAATCTTGTTGAGCAGAGATTTGAAAAATATGTAATTAAATCAAATGTTTATTACAATCATTAAATTACAAACTTTTTACTTGTTATTGACATACATACATACATACATACACACGTGTTTTGCAATTTGTCTATTCCTGTTCATGAAATCGTTTTATATTGTGCACAACACTTATCACAATAAAATCTTTAAATGTAATTTCTTATATCTTGAAGATAACGCAGGTAAGGAATATTTCATCGTATCTTATACTCGGGCGCTTTGAAGCGTTCTAAACTATATATGAGTTATTAACAGAGCACAATAACTCATATGCTTTTATTTTCACGGACAGCCGATGGTAGACAACGATGATGATAGCTACGGGTCAAATACTTTAGTTACCTTGTCCTATTCGCCATATAAATACTTATGTGTACTGTGGGCACTTTTATTAATCACTAGCCTTTATTGCATAAAGCATAAAAATTCAGTATAAAAGGTTTTCATTAGGTACAGATTTTTTTTTGGTACAAATAGCTTGTGTTGAGTGGCAAAAAATGCTTTGATTTTTGTGCCTTTGTTGGCATTGCATATGGGGTGAAATATAAAAAGCAAAAAATTTCGTTTACAAGGTACTTGACTTACATACATTGCTTGTTGTATCCCAATGTTTGCTTCTTTTTTTTTTTAAAGGAAATTTAATTTACGTTATATTTCGTTACCGTTTTAATGTTTTCATCATATACATGTGTGTATTCATACTATTTTTCCACTTGCTGATTCTGAACTTTTATTTTGAAGATTTTCTGCACACAGGATTTTCATTTTGAAGCATTAACAAAAAACGGCTAGGATGGATCTCGGGTCCAAAATATGTCAATGAATTAAATTTCGTCAAAGTATGTCAAAAAATTTAAACTGCAGACTGAACAGGCATCAGGCGGACAGCCAGACAGACATACTTAAATCGATTTAGAATATGATTCTTAATCGATCAGTGTAATACACAAATCGATCTGCCCTAAGCATTTCTACATGTTACATACATCCCTTTATTACCCTTATCACAAGGGTATCTACACCCTTTATCACAAGTGCTATAAAAAGAATATAAATATGAAGACTTGGTAGTTTTTGAAAAAGAGAATGATTAGAGGGCAACTTTGACTTTACAACTAAAGCGCATTAATTATTTCAATTTATTAAATATTAAAAAGAAAGTTTAATATAGCTTTGTTAACAGGAACATTTTTAGCACCACAACTAGCGAATGGGTAGGTGTAACCGCTTCCAGCTTTCGAGTTTCATAGACATGGCTTTAAATCCATTAAATAGATAATACCCCTCCACAATGGTCCCGTCCAAATCGTTTTCAAAACATTGGCGCTTGGATCAAAGTATGTCGTTCTACGAAATTTCTCAACAGCATCTCAAAAATTTCGATTTTTAGATTGAACAAAAAATACGTGGACAGACGGACGGACAGACAGATAAGATTAGATCAATCAAAAAGTGATTCGGAACCGATTGAATATAATAAAATAAAGATATATCTCAAGTCCATTTAAATATTATCTGCATCCGCATAAACTTCATATACCCTTGTAGCAAAAGTGATTTAGGATAAAAATGCTTCAATCACCAAAAATCTGCGAAAAGAAAGCACCGTTTCACATGGTGCAAATGACCCATATGAAATTCATTCTCCCATTAAACACGACAAATCGACATGACGGGTCATTCGACCTCAATATACGTAGATGTTGCAGTGATCTTGTAAATTCAATGTAATGTCTTGAGGTGATCCTTGATCGCAAACTCAACTTTGGCCCCCACATTGACAATGTCTCTTGAGCTGTATCTGCCTCTACATACTATTACGCATTCGCTCCTCATGACGCATGTTAACTACTGCACTGAAATTTTTTCTGGATGTCCAAGATATACCTTACGTCAAACTTCGAGACCACATCTCTTCCTTCATTCATGCTTTCTTAAAATTCTCCTTTGCGGATTACCGAAAGCTCAGACAGCTTATCTGTTTCTACAAAATCATTCAATATCGATTCAAACACATTTTAATAGAACGACTGTAGTTCTCTAGATTGAATAGAAACCATTTCATAGTGATACCATGTTTTTCTAACGTGACGGTTTTCTGATCATGACACATGCTTAAATGCGTTTAGAAGAAAGTTAACCGCGCTGCTAAGCTTATCATTTATATTTTGTTGCTGGTAAAAATTGAGGAGTTAATGGAGCGAAATGATTACCTTGAACCTACGTGCAAAAACTTCCAATATTTCTGGCAAATTTAAAGTCGACAGCTTTAATTTTGCAGCCAGAAGAATGTTTCTAACAGACGGACAGACGGACATCCTAAAAATCGATTTGGAATTTGATGTTGGTCAAGAATATATATACTTTGTGGGATCTCTGATGCTTCCTTCTGGACGTTGCAAACGTTTTGGCAAAATGAACATACCCCTTATTTTTCAGTGATGGGTATAACAAAACTATAAAGAATTTTTGATAAAATGAAGTGAAGTGAAATATTGCATTGCAACTAATGAATTGCATTGCTTCCCAAAGCGGCACATATTATGCGAAAAGCATGCTAATGGGTTCGACTTTTTTGCCAGTCAGTGCCACAAAAAGAATATTGACTGCCAACTTATTGCGCCTCACACTCGTCCTACGACTGACAAAGTTCCTTTTCCGCCGTAATCGCAATCTTCTACACGAAATAACATAGGAAACCATTCTACCTGATATATTTATAGTCCTCTCCATTACCTGATTGTTTAATATTTCACTTACCTATTTTTTCATTTTGTTTAGGCTCTGTTGGCGATAAGACCTAATATATTCAGAAGAATTATGTTTTTATTATTCATTGGTCCTTTATCAAAAGCCCTCGCTAAATTCCCTGTTAAAAGGCAAAGCACGAAGTTGCTTATAATAAATAAGAAAAATAGTCAAAAATGGTAGCTCTGTTAAATGGTTAAATGGTAACGCCATTCAGCTGTGTTAAATAGCAAACAAGTAGTGGAAACCTCTGTTAAATGGCATTTTAACGGGGAAACCTCTGAATGGCAAAGCCGTCGGGAAAGTAGGGGAAACCTCTGTTAAAATGCAAAGCCGTCAACTATTGCTTATATTACAAAAAAAGGCGTGCAGACTGCCTTAGCATAAAGTTCTTCAATAACCGTAGCTCATTTCAGCTTCTAGACGTTTAGCTGAGACGAAAAGTTAAAATCAATTGTACATTTAATACATTTTAAGCTTCCATCGTAACTAAATGACACTAAAGGAAGAATAAACACACGTACTTCGATTATTCGGTAGAGCACTGCAAAAAATACCCGGTAATCACTGCTTATGCAAAAATCGAATACTAAGTCAAGTTGTTTACTCATCTCTAAACTTATGGAATTGCCATTAATTAAATCTGAAAAAATTATCTTCCAGTAGATAACAGTTTATTTTATAAACAGAAAAACATACGAGAGATTTGTGTATGAAGCTCGCACGTGGTTTGAGTAGAATATTGAATCTTGTCGAGAAAATGTCTTTAAATGAAGCTAAACGAATTGCTGCTCATCGGGCTGTGAATGAGTGGGTTAAAACCGGCACAGCAGTTGGTATAGGAAGCGGGTCAACAGTTGTGTTTGCTGTGGAAAGACTTGCAGAAAGGATGAAGTCGGAGAATCTTAATGTTGCGTGTGTACCAACCAGTTTTCAGGCACGCCAACTTATAATAGAACACGGATTACAATTAAGTGACTTGGATCGTAACCCGCAATTAGATGTAGCCATTGATGGGGCCGATGAGGTAGATAATGGTATGGTTCTAATAAAGGGTGGTGGAGGATGTTTATTACAAGAGAAAATCGTTGCCTCCTGTGCTGAAAACCTAATAATAATTGCAGATTACACAAAAAACTCCAAAAAGCTAGGCGATCAGTACAAGAAAGGGATTCCCATTGAAGTAACTCCGATGGCTTACGTACCAATTAAGCAGCATATACAGAAATGTTTTGGCGGTAGCCTTAAATTACGAATGGCTGTAGCTAAAGCGGGTCCCTGTGTAACCGACAATGGTAACTTCATATTGGATTGGGAATTTGCCAGTGAGAAGGCTTACAATTGGCCAGATGTTAATCGTGATTTACTTATGATAGCCGGAGTGGTAGAGACTGGACTGTTCGTCAATATGGCCACCAAAGCATATTTTGGTATGTCGGATGGGCAAGTTAGAACACAGGAGCGTAATGCTTCTATCTAAAAAGAAATCGTTATCTGCATTTTTATCTACAGTTCTACATATAATGCTAATTTAACTAGTAAACTGCTAAAAGAACTAAGTTTCATAAAAGTAATAAATGTTTTTTGTAAAATTTTAGTTTTAATTACATCTTTCGTTGCTGTTTTACGAATACAAAAATTAAATCATTGAAGTCTCAATTCGTCAATTTACCAGTTAACACTTAAAAGTTTAAAATGATTTTTTACTACGTTCCGGCATGACGGAATCTTTAAGATAATTGAACAATGACAATAAGCCTTGCTTTCTGCTTCTAGAAAAATAATTAGAGACCACGTCCTGATCTACATGTCGATCGTTTATGGTGGTTGGTAAAACATTATCATTAGCACTTAACGAAACAAATAAAGCGAAAGGTACCATCCACAAACATAAAGTAAAATATGCTAAAACCTACAAAAACCCAGATAATTACAAGTGATATAAATAATATGGAGATTTCACTTACTTGTGTAAAAGGATAGTAAAATGACGTGAAATATTGGAAAGCCAGGAAATGATTGAGAATTAAGCACACAACTGAGCCTATAAAGGGTATTGATAGAAATTTAATGAATGGAAAATTGCCCATAATCGCCAAATGAAAAGCTTGCGTCACGAAACCCATTATAACCATTCGCCAAGGCAAATCGTCACAGAAAATGAACATTGTATACACAAACATCGTGAAACTTATCATGAACAAAATCACTTTACGTGCCGCAGTTGTGTACTCTTCCACTAGTTCAGCTATATAATACAATCCAGCCACTAGAAAAGAGAAAAATTAACAGATCTGCCTGAGGTGCGTATTTACTCACCTATTGATATTGTAACAAAAACAACCTGCAATATTAATGCCAGCCAACTTAATATGTACATGAAGACCATTATTGTCTGTATTTAAAATACCGTTACTATTGTTGAGAGATAGATAATAAATTTTTCTTTGCGCTGCAAAACTACTTGGATTTAAGGTATATTTAACATAATTTCTATATTCGAAAATAAATCTTAATAATCTTATTGTATACCAAAGAATTCTATGATGTTTTTGCCGTATTACTAATAAATAAAACTTAAAATTAATGAACTGACAATTGCTATCAAAACGTAAACAAAACGCGTTAACACATGTTTTACGGCATTTCCAAGCTGAAAGCTTCTCTATGCATTATCTCTGAATAATTCTAAAAAAATGTGTAAGGGAATGCACACAATTAAATTATCCTTACATTTCTAGGACTGGAAGAGAAATTAATTTTATAAATTTATAATATTTATTTTATATTATTTATATCTATATATATTTATAGATATTTACATATATATATTTATATATATTATATATACATATATATAAAAATCCTTCGTGGTAATAAATTGAATCAACCCGAGACTTAGGAATATAAGAGCGCCTTATTGTGCTAATCCTTTAAGAGTGTAACTATACTTGTTACATAGAACTAAGTGGTAACGCTTGCTTATAGCACATATTTTTATTTTTAAAACATATAAGAAAGCAGCTGAGCAATATTATGAATGGCAAAGCTATTTTCAATATATAAAAAGGTGCTTTAGAATCGAATTCTAAGTTTTGATTTTATTGTGAATGAATTAATTTAATGTCATAATAAGAGGTTTTGACAACGTGAAAAATTTCAGAACGAAGGAAAGAAGCGTGTAGCTTTTTATTAAGAAAAAAGTTTACTGTAATATTATATTTATAAAAATTAGTTTAATAAACAATTTCATCAACTAGTTGCATAAATCTTATTCGCAAACTCAAAAAATTGTAACAGGAAAACTTACCAAAAATTGTAATGAATAAAATCCAGTGAAAAAAACAAAACGCCGCAATAAAGCCTGATGCACTAAAAGATACAAAAGTGTGCTTTTTTTTTTGAAGGAATAAAAGTCGAGAAAAATAAGCGCCTATTTTCTACTGCTACTTAATTATATAGAATTTATAGCATTTGTGAAAGTATATAAAGTAAATGTTAGGTTAAGAACGACAAAACTTGAAGGAAAGAATAAAATTATTCATTTCAAAATAAAGACAACAAACAGAAATTTACATTGTAAGCAGAAACAACACAAAAAATAAAAAAATAAAGAAATGACGGACCAAATGGAAGAGGAACTTGAATCGCAGGAAGAACAAATCGAACAATCAAGTGGGCAAGTGGGAATTACAGATCAAAGACCCCCACCGGATCAACGATTAGAAACGCAACGAGCAAACCAATCTGATGAAAACATGGAAATTGATATTTACGAACAGCCGACATCGTCAGTTCAAGCCCAACCAGACGATGAAGAGCCAGTAGGGCTACCTCAACAACAACCATCGCAAGCTAATGTTGACGAGGATGTCGAAGGTGAAGCTAATGAGCAAAGTAGTGATTCGTTAGATACGTTTCGTGGTTTCGATGAAATGGACTCCAATCTGGAAAATAAAGACATGTCGCAAGTCTTGCAATACTGGGAATCCAAACATACGCAGTCGGGTTTCGATCCCGTGCCCATTTTGAAAAGGTACCACTTTTTATATTCTATAACACAAAACACGTGAGGACATTACACGTCCGTGTATGTCCCACTGCTTTTCACGATGATCACTTCTCTTCAAATAGATTGGCTGAAATATTTGAAAAAGAAACCGAAATATATATGCGGAAAGATCCAGATCCTTTCGATGAACGCCACCCCTATCGAACAGATCCTAGTTGTCAGTTTGGATTTTTACTCAAGCAGCTGTTTCGTAAGGATCATTTTATGAAGAAGGTACTGCCGCCATTCTTGCTTTAAATTATTCATTACTTATTCACTTGTGTATTTTTTCTCGTCCCATTTTAGTTGGTTAATGATTATCTGCGCGATAATTACTTCACTCGACAGAGCATACAAAAGAGTTCTCTGGAATTGAATATTTTGGCATTGCGTTTAATTTTAGTTATAATGCCAGGTCTGGAAACATCGGCTGTATTTCAGGTAGAATTTGATAATCTCATCCATCGTATTTACAACTGGGCCGAAGACAGCATAGAGCCTTTGCAGAGTTATGCCACTGGCCTATTGGCTGCCGCAATGGAGGTTACGATTTTTGTTTTTATAAAATCTATATATTTTATATATCATTCTATATGTTATATAGGTTACGGACATCGCGGTCACTTTCCGTGAATTGAATACGCGATTAGTGCCCAAAATGATTAAACGTTTACATATGTTACAAGCTGTTTACAAAAGTTGTACACGCGATTTGGTCAACCATGTTATGCCATCAATAGGAAACTGTATACCTGGGCCCAGCGTAATGAATAATTCAATAGATTGTGAAACTGTAGCAGTACATTTAGAACGTGTTTTGCCTTCGTGGATGACGGGCTCAGCCCCTCAATCACCTTTGCAAATGGAAGACTCTCCCACCACTTCTAAAGCAACAGCAGGTGCAAACAATGCTGCTTTAGACGTTTTAACTAACAATTCGAACATGTCGACGCTATTAGAGAACAGTCGTGAAACGTTACCGAGCGCACATATTTATAAAAAGATGTACATAGCCATACATCCACCGACAGCCGAAACTAGCCAAATGCTGATATTACGCTACCTGACAACAATGGGAGAGTATCAAGAATTTTTGGGCTTATTCCTCGAGCACAATGCTATACAATTGATTTTCGGCTACATTGAAAATCTAGATTCTCGAGACACTTGCCTGGCATTCGAGGCCCTTAAATATTTAGCATCTTTGCTATGTCATAAAAAGTTTGCTTTGGAATTTATCAGCCACGGTGGATTGGAGGTAGGACATGCCGATAGAGATAATATTCTTTTCTTCCTGCTTTATTAAACTTATTACAGCTCCTGTTAAAAGTCCCGCGACCGAGCATAGCCGCTACAGGAGTATCAATAACACTTTATTATTTAGCTTACACTGAAGATGCGATGGAAAGAATTTGCACGATGCCGAAATCAATTATTACTCAATTGGTGAAATATGCCTTGTGGATCTTAGGTCATTCCTACGATTCTGGCAAATGTCACGCTACTATGTTCTTTGGTTTAAGTTTTCAATTTAAAATTATACTCGACGAATTCGACGCCCAGGATGGTCTGAGGAAACTTTACAACGTAGTATGTTATCTAAGGAAGTAAAAAATATGAATCTGGCAATAATTATGCGAATTTTGTTTTGCAGATTTCGGTTTTAAAAATTCTAAATCCGTCCAGCAATGAAGAGGACGCTAACAATGATCTCAACGAAGATGTGGAAAGCGCTTCACGTCAAATTGTTCGTCACGTATGCGTTGCTTTAAAGCGCTATATGGAAAGCCATTTGTTCTACAAATACAACAGCTTTATGCGACAGCAGTTTCCATCGTCTGCAGAATTCAACCAAAACATAACTAAAGCCGCCAAAGCTAACCTTGAGCAGATTAGCGACCAGATACGTACCTTGCAAGAAAATACCTCAGTAAGAGCCCATTGGGCTCCTGTCGATCAATTATTGAAATTAGGCGGCATTACGTTGCTGTTGAAAATTATTGCCTTCTCTTATGAATGGAATAATGGCGGCAGGTCCGAGACGGTGCGATCGGCATTAGACGTTTTATCTATATGTTGTGTTATTCCGCGTGTTTATCTAGCTTATTGCGGCATCCTGGAATTGCCTGATCATGGCACAACCACTGGTGTATTTTCGATACTTGGAGCGGCTGCCGGCGATATTGTACCAGACGCTGATGTGCAAAAATCTGCTTTGGCGGTGTTATGTCACTGTGTGTGTTCTCCTATTGCTAGGGCAAGTAGATATAATGTAATTTCTTAAATCGTTTCAAGAATATTTTCCCACTTTGCAGAAAGATCCCATTACCTTAATGAAGTGCCTCGGTTCCTCCAAGAAAAATAAACAAAGTAATCGGTACAGTGAAGAGTTGGTAGAAAAAGTCTGGGAGTCTGTGTGTTCCAATAATGGCATTATCGTACTATTGTCATTAATGCAAATCAAAACGCCAATTACGGATGCAGATTGCATCCGTGGTATGGCCTGCCGGGCGCTAGCTGGTCTAGCTCGTTCACAGCGTGTGCGACAGATTGTTGGCAAGCTTCCATTGTTTGCTAGTGGTCAAATACAGACTTTGATGCGCGATCCAATTTTGCAAGAAAAACGGGCGGAACATGTAATTTTTCAGAAATACGCTTTAGAGTTATTAGAACAAGTGTCGGGTAAAACAAAACCGCTCAGTCACCAGTTGGATCCGTCTTTGGCTAACATACATAAAGCGAATGTAATAGCCCAAACGAAAATTCAGTACAACGAACAACAACTTTATCAATTGATTTATGATCATTTGGAGTCTAAAGGTTTAACCCAAACAGCACATATGTTGCAGAAGGAGGCTAACTTACAATTGCCTTCGACGACAACTAAGAACTTTCATCAGTCACCATTCGATTATAAGGTAATGACTGTCAGTTCCATTGGTCGTAGCCGTCTTCGGAGCCGTATGCCAGATATAACTCAAGCTATAAATGGAGCTGCATCAACAATTGCAGTTAACAACTGTCCCACATCTTCGGAAAATGTAAATGGCAACTTGAGCGATGATGCAGCCCAAAATGCGATCACACCTATAAAATTGGTAAGGAAAACGGATAAATTGATGTGCAATTCAATAGGGCCCAATAGTTCGCACTGTTCTGTCAACAATGCCAACAGTGCGAATTGCATTCAGTCGAGTAGTCAGCGTTCGCTGCAAAAACAAATTTCGGTAGCTGATGTCAATAACATAGTGGAAGTAGGCTCGCCACCGCTTAGCGTGGGTATAACACTGTCCACCATTGTCACTGAATATCTAACAAATCAACACGCGTTGTGCAATAATCCGATGACAACGTGCCCGCAATTTGATCTGTTTACCCCTCATAAATGCCCAGACCCAAAACCTAATCGCGTTCTGGGTGATAATATAAACATAACCGCCCGCCTCTTTAAAGCCCAAGCCGGGTTTAATACACGCCGTTTTGATAGGCGTTACGTTCATTCAAATTTCGCTCCTTGGCATTCGATACGTTCCAATGATTACAATGAAATCGAATTCACTTCGTGTCATATTGTGGAAAATACCAATTTGTTGCTCGTCGGTACTCATCAAGGGGAAGCAAAAGTTTTCAATATGAACGAAGGTACCGAACTGTTTTCTTCGCGTTGCCATAGTTACCTCATCGATTCTATACAGTCGAATCGGAAAGGAGATCTTGTCTTAACCTCGTCATCGTGGCGGTCACCTCTTAGCGTGCTATGGTCGATAAGTCATAATGATTTCATATCAAAATTGCAATTCAATGATGAATTTTACTGCGAGTTTAGTAAATTAACGCAAGACAAAATCATCGGTACCCAAAGCGATGTAAGTTGCAGACGTGATATATATTTAAAGAAATGTATTATTAATTATTTATTTTTTTTTAACGGCAAGTGTTCGATTATATATGACGTGCAGACGGGCCAGAAAGTGTCAACATTTAAACCGGTACTAGGCAATCAATATACGAAAAATAGAGCCACCTTTTGTCCCGCTGATGAATTAGTTTTGTCAGGTTTGCTTAATTCTTTTAAACCCGTAATTAAATTTAATTTCTTTTTCAATCTATCATCGTAGATGGTGTTTTATGGGATGTCAAATCTGGAAAAGAAATCCATAAATTTGATAAACTAAATCAATCACTTTCGGGTATATTTCATCCTAATGGTTTAGAGGTAATTTTCGAAATTGTCTTTGCTTAAAGGTTAAATTACGATAAACTTTTGTTCTTTTCTGCGTATTTGTAGATTATTTCAAATACAGAAGTATGGGACCTACGGACATTTCATTTGTTGCAAACTATACCGGTTTTGGATCAATGTTATATAAAATTTTCACCTATGCATGTTTTGTATGGCATTAGTCTGGAAGTAGAGAATCGTAACGAATTCGACGATTCAAACACATACGAGACGAGCTTTAAAGTCCTTGATGCTTATGATTATTCCAGTATATCGACTATCGATGTGAAAAGGAATATTTACGATTTAAGTGTGAGTGGTAATGGCAGTCTGATAGCGCTGGTAGAAAATCAACCGTCTTATGATACCAAGCCGGAAACCTTTGTAAAGATTTACGCTGTTGGGATGAAAAAACATGAACATGAAGAAGAGGTGCGTGGTTCTTGTACTAATTTTCAGTCGTCCGGCGGCTCTGGAGCGGAAAACAACAGAGCTGCTGCTGGCGGCGAGGTGTCCTCAAATCGTACCTACGAAACGACCACTGCCAGTAGCAATGGCGGTGTTGGTGTTCGTGCTGTGCTTCGCCCCAGGGCTGCTGGCAGCAGGGTATACGATATAACAAGAGGTGGCGGCGACGGTGGTGATGGTGATATTGTTAGTGGCTATAACAGCGGTAGACAACAGCAATTACCGCAGCTACAACAACAAAATCACAATCGACACGCGGAACAGCCGCCCCTAATACCATTACATAATGAAAATGCTTCTGCTTATCAGAGGAGCCGCAACAGCGGCAGCAATATTAATATTAGTAATCGTGTTGCTGGCCTTCGAGCAGCACTAGTAAACCTGGAGGCAGCCGGCGATATAGGCACAGCAGATGCGGACATCGATCTCAATATATTACTTGATTTGGATGATATAGCATTAAATCTTTTATCTCTGCTTGTAGGAAGATGATGAGGAGCCGGAATCTGAAGAAGACAATTCCGACAGTGACGCTTCCACAGAAAGTAAGTTATTTGATTTCGCCTCTTTATGGTCTCCAGCTTGAAGAATATTGTTTATTGTTTACAGTTTTCGATCTGCTTCCAAATGATGAAATACGTAATAGAAATGGCAATAATGAAAATTTTGTAGAAGACGAGGACGACGACGATGAGGATGAAGAAGATGACGACGCGGACGAGGACGACGACGAGGAAGGTTGGATCGATATGGGATCATCAGATGATGACATGGCGGGCGTTCTTTGATTGTCTTAAATTTCAATTACGTTTTCTGAACATACGATACGAGAGGATTACGTATGCGCGTTGTTTTTCTTACCCAAAACGAATACTCTTGCAAACGTATATGTAAAGGAATAATAAGATGTTCAAACAGTTGCTACACTTAAGCTGCTGTCATCTAGATTATTGTATAAACTCAATTTTTCAATTAAACGATAGTTTTCTTTATATGTTTACATATATAGGCACGTTGTCGTAGATATTATAAAATGTTTCCAGAATACACAAGCACTGTCGAAAGAACAACGAAAACTGCTCTCTCAAGTGTTACGAAAAACTGATCCTAAATTTTTCCCTTTTATTTTGTCTGTTCAACCCCCTAAGTCCGACAAATGTCTTTAAAAATCACTTCTTAGTGATGGTTACATTTAACATATTAATATGGAATACAAGTAACTACGTGTGCTGTCTCTTTTTCAATACCTCGCGTTAACACGAACAATGGTACATACTTATGTCTGCAAAAGCTAGATGCTAGATGCTTGCATAAACAGCACTGCTGTGAGTTTCACAATTTTGTGACTATGTCTCCATATTCTACTTTGCAGTATCGTATCCATCAAGAGCTGGCAAAACAAAGCAACTAGAGATCACGATAGGATTCGGTCTAAACCGAATATAATCGACCTGTTAAATATTTGTGCTTACCAAAAATGTACTTTCACGTCCGTTATCAGTTACGAATGTTTCATTGTTTAAATTTTTAAGTCATAGGATAGCGGTTAATGACTCTTAACATTTTGGCTTGATAGAGAAGGCATTTAGAGCGAATACTTTTCCTTACTAATGAAAAGACAATTGACTTTTATTATTGCTTCCCTTTTAATATTTATTTTGAATATGTATGTAGGCATTAATTTTATTTGAATGCCACCTGTACAACCCTTAGAGGAAATATTAACTGCATTTAAAAGGTAGTTCAATATCTGGAAAATGAATTGTTAAATAATTTGGATTTTTTTACTGATATAAATAAAAACTATAAAAGCTATTTAAAAACTTGGAGCTATGAGAAATTGTTTCATACTTAAAATGAAGGTCGAATTGCTGCGGTAACGTTATTTAAAACCTTAATTGCGTTTTTCTCGAAACTACGTTCTTCGATACTATGGCATGGGTTATGTAATTATTTGCCAACATCCAAAAAGGAAACTTCAAAGATCCTACAAAGTATATATATATTCTTGATCAGTATGAAATTTTGAATTGATTAAGCCATGTCTGCCCATCTATGTGGAGCTTTTTGTTGGCACTCCCCTGGTCGCAAAAATGACGATATCGACTTCAAACTTGTTAGGAACATTGGACGACTTTACACATAGATTGGCATTGAAAATCGGCCAAATTGATTAGAGCGCAAGTCCCCAGTGGAGCGTAAACTGAACGAAATTCCGTTTTGCTGAACACAAATTTCTGGCTTTTTGTTCATTATTCAATAATTGTACAAAATAGATAGATATCAGCCGAGATGTTCTAAAAATACGTTAACTCTAAAACATATATTGTGGGCATCACGATCTGATGGATTAATTTTATCGCAATAATACCAGCATTACGTGTACCAAGTATAGAGTAGATGGCGGCAAGGTAAATGTATTAATTCTAAATAAATTGTAGTGGGCGTGGATTCATTTTGTTGCGGTACCGTTGATATGGGTCTCATATAAAAGGACTTGGAGAGTGTGGAGTGGGACAAGTTAACTGCATTAATTCTAAATTAATTGTGATGGACGGCACTACATGATGATAAATTTCTTCTAAAAACTACTGTCTACATGAGTATCAAATAAAAGGGATTAGAGAATGGAATGCGACAAGCTAACAATATCTTTTAATAAAGTAAAAGATGAGAGATAACTTTTATCCCATTCACATGTTTATGACAATAAATAAAAGCATGGGGCGCCAAAGATTGTGATTGTGATGATGATGGGTATGCGTGATTCGGCCTCTGCCTAATATAACTATGTTAAAACATATGTTTTTTGAGATACGGGAATAATATACCAAGTATTTCTTACTCTTACGTTTTAAACAGGGAATTGGGGCCTTAATGAAAACGATCGAGAGGATGATAAAACCAAAGGCCCTTTCTTTTGTGTTTAAAAAAACTGTTTAAGATTGTTCTAAATAACCCAACGATTATGCAAAGATGTGTAAGAAAAATTGTTTCAATCCATTGATAGTTAAGTAGAAAATGGTCTCTAATCTCATGCTCACACAATAGCCTTAAGTTGGCTTAGCGCGAATCATTCGTCAATTGGAATGGATTAAATGATGCGTTTGAATTATTTACAAAAAAAAAATTATGGACTATTTGCAAATTTCGAACAGAAAAGAAGAAGATACATTCACGTTGTCTTTTGAACCTTAGAATCATTATAGATACCATAAAAATGGACATGTGTCACTCTTAAAATGATTTCCAAATACAGAAGTTAATTATCGGCATCTTAATATTGGTTCCCACATTAATTTATCTTCTTTTTCATACGGTAGAATATCACAATATTGTGATAGACCCACTGGTATTGCAGCTTGATATGCGGAACCCACCATCACGTTCGTTTATTCGTTTATTTATTCGCGCATTCATTCATTTGTTCATTCATTCATCTTTCCTTTATATAATCATTATGTTAATTGAAAAAAGAAAAGTGGTTCCGATGAAAGCACAAACACATATATAAAAAATAATTCATTTGTCGGTAAAATACTTGCAAAATATTTGTATTGTAATGAAAAAAATCAACCATTGTTGATGTATTGATATCCTTTGATATCCTCAGATGATGGATCGTGTCTTTTATATTGTCTTATGCCCTTATGATTGGGAAGATTCCCTTTGAGATTTTTCTTAGGAGGTGACAAAATGTATCGCTGGTGTGTAACCCTAAGCTGCTCGGCTTCAGAACGCCAAGTCTTCTATCTCTTTGCAAATGACAATAGTGCTCGGCATGAGATAGTCCCTAACTAGGCGGATGGAACGCCTGTGAGTTTTTAGCGGATTGATACGCTAGTTTGAATTGCTTTGATACAATTGCTTTATTTAAATTTTATCGTGCTATTTATACATAAATTCCTATATTAATTTATGCTTCCCCTCAAGAGAAGTTAATTGTTTTAATTGGGGGCGCCTGGCATTGTATTGCATTGCGAAATACAATACTCAGCCAAGTGAAGTGTGACATCATTTTTATTTTTCTTTTAGTGAAAAGAATTATGCTGAATTTGCATGACACACTCCACAGTGGATGCGTATACCGATATGGTATCACACTACAGTATATTAATGCTAATAACATATTAAAAATCTTTGAAACTTTCACATCTTTACAAACAAATGCTTCGAGAAGACCAAATTTGCGAAGTTTTGAATCTTGTTTCCGAATATTACTGAACTTAAGATAGATATAATTAAATGGACAGACTCACAATAACATCCCAGTAAATCAATGAATTCGATAATTTTTTTAAAGAAATTTTCTAATAACAATTTTTTCTCTTTTTTCTATTTTTTTTTTTTTAAAGAAATTTTTACGATTTATTTAGCAATTTTTTATTTTATTTATGATTTGCTCCAAGTTTTTTGTTCAACTTGTAAAATGGTTTTGCTTCTACATAAAACCGTTAGCTGGTTTTTTCCTTTACAAAGTTTATGCTACAAGGGTATATTAAGTTCGCATGGATGTATGCAACAGCCAACTGTTCAATCTGTAGGCCACAACAACGCATTGCCCAATACACCTTTATTAAAACAATCAAAATTTCTTCATTATCATGAAATTACATTAATAAGAAATGTATAAAAATGCAAAAATAGTGGACCAACTTTTTATTTTTGGAAAATCGCTGGAAAGTCGCTGGCTAATAAATAAATTTAAAAACAATTTCTTCATTTTTTTTAACATTTTAATCGCAATTCGGGTTGTTTTTCAGCAAACGCCAAAGGGTTTTCTTCAATTGCGCTTGCGTGCATCTTCGATAGCTATTTGCCTCTATTGTAATGT